AAGGGAGATTACGAACACACAGCGGAGAGATTTAGCATGGAGGATGAAAACCACAGTCGACGAGTGAGTAAAGTCGTTTTTTTATCTGATGGCATTTTCTTATGGTTAAAGGTTGTTTTAGTTAATTAAGTGTGCAGTGTTACAAAGTTGTTAGTCCTCGCCAGCTTTCTTATATTATAACTGGTGTTTGTAGGAACACTTTAGTAATCACAGGATGAATGGGCGATAAACAATCAGTAAAACAACGATTTCGATGCTAAACTATTGCATAATTTTAAATACGATTTGTAGTCAGTGGGTTCTAAAGTTACCATTGCGACCAGCTATAATCATAAGAAAATGCCATCAGATAAAAAAACGACTTTACTCACTCGTTGAGTGTGGTTTTCATCCTCCGTGCTGAAATCTCTATCTGTTATACCAGGTGCAAGCGTATGCAGAGTTTCTATTTAGGCTATAACACGTGTTTGCAGCGTTGAGCAATGCAGTGCTGAAATTTGCGTGCTCACGAATCCTCTCATTATAACACACGAATTGTAGACATTATGAACGATTAATTATGCTTATATTTATTGTGTTATAACAGAGATTTGTGAGATATTATAACTATGAACTGAGATGTCTTTTAGAGACTATAAATGCAGCGCTCTTTGCTGGCATTCTGTCATACTGTAACAACACGCAGTTGCTCTATAGAACATGGGGCTAACTGGAACTAAGCTAGCCTACTAAACTGTTGCTAAGCTAATTGCTAACAGGATGCTAGCATCTACACGTCGAGACTTTTAATTTGGTTATTGGAAAGTGCAAACACTCGCGTCCCATACACCGCACGACCCAGAGAGTCTCTGTGAACAGAAGCACAGATGAAACAAACCAGCAAGAGGCACTACTGTCATCTTCCTCCTTTTATTCCACACAGAATAAGAACATACACAGGCAAGGCCATATCGCCAAGTGCCTCCCCTACACATCTCTCTCCATGACGGTGACAGCCACACTTTTTATAACAAGGCAGTAAATGAACCAAACCCACCCGAACTAACTTGAACATAAACACAAATAACATTGCTAATGCAAAAACCCAACCATCTTGCTTAATTAACACATAAATCAACTCTAAACAAATACCCATAATGCACCTGGCTGCTAGCACTCACTGCCGGCTTTAATCGCGATTAATTTAAGAAAAAAATGTGTTTAATTGATTGAAAATGATTATTTTTTGTTGTTTTTTTTAATCGAATGACAGCACTAATATATATATATATATATAATGTGTGTGTGTCTGCTAAAGAGCAGCCATTGAATCACTTTCCTCCTCATAGTATATTCCCACACATTAATGCATGCATTAAAACAGATTGAACACAGGCACACAGTGGGCTCTTGTGTTTGTCTCAGTGTTTTCCTGATTCTTTCTCTGATCGCAGCCACGTGGGTTGGAGGAGGATACATCAACGGCACCGCGGAGTCAGTGTATCTGCCCGGATCCGGCCTGGCTTGGGCTCAGGCACCGTTCGGTTACGCACTCAGTTTAGTAGTCGGTGAGATGATTTTACACGGATGAATTCAGCATAATTCATGGATTTAAAAGAGTGCATTAGCACATTAAAATTAGCACAAAAAACCCTAACCCCATTACATGAAAACGATCACATAATACCAAGTCATGGCTTTTACAGATACTAAAGGCAAGCCCATTTCACATAGTGAGAGCTAATCATCGGCATGCATGTATTGTAATCTGTTAGTATGTGGTCAGGTTGACAGTGCGCTCCTTTTGGTCCAGGTGGGTTGTTCTTTGCGAAGCCCATGCGCTCTCGAGGCTACGTGACGATGCTCGACCCGTTCCAGCAGCTCTATGGCAAGAGAATGGGAGGCCTGCTCTTCATACCTGCTTTACTGGGAGAGATCTTCTGGTCAGCCGCCATTTTGTCAGCCTTGGGTATGAAAATGCACCACATATAACACACCTAAAGCTTGATAGATACGTCAGTGTTGTCTGAACGCAGAATAAAAGCCTCGCTGTCCTCTGCACAGGAGCAACACTGAGCGTGATTGTGGACATCAACATCAGCATGTCAGTGGTGATTTCTGCCTTGATTGCCATCTTCTACACGCTGGTTGGGGGACTGTACTCGGTGGCGTACACAGATGTCGTCCAGCTCTTCTGCATTTTCATAGGTTTGGTGAGTCTTCTCTACAAACACAGACATGTCGGCAGAATTTCCACACCAGACTGCAATCGGTTAGACATCCCTTGCATGCAAGTGTGGTAATGCTGCTAATTAAACATGAAAACAATGTCATTTAAGCCCACCTGTGTTCCAGAGAAGCCCACTATTCCTGTTTGATTGTATTTGCCACACATTTGACTAAATAAACACTAAATAAAGAACTGCTGATAAAACTGGATAGAACTGAACTGTTGGGCTTTTGATTCCCAGCAGAGACTCTCTTTTCTCCCTCTTTCACTCAGTCTCAGGTTCTTCATGTCAGCCACAGATTTCTTTTGTCAAAGTCTGTCCTTGTTTTTAGGCCACCTAATCCTTCATAGTCTTTACAATTATTTTTGTCCCCACATTGAAAACATGGGGTGAAGTTTTGAGTCAATTCAGTTAATGCTGTCTTAAATGAGGTTCAGTGTGTTGCTGGCTTAGTGGGCTTCTTAGGAAAAACAGTTGACAAAAAAAGCCATAAAGAGCAGAACATTTTATACTGGTAAACTAATGGTAACCATTTTATACTGGTTAACTAGTTTTTTTTTACTAATTGTTATGGGTTAAATCAGGTAGAAATGGCTCTTTAAGGTAGCATATGTAGGTTACCACACTGCATAAAAACAGAGCAGTAAATCCGAGTTTGGCTCGAGATAAATCTGAAAAAAATATTAATTTAGTGTGCTTATCAACATTTGTATTTATTTATTTATTCATTTTCATTTTTGCTGCAACATCATGCTGCAGATTTTCCATCTGTTCAAAAACTAGTGCTTTAAACTATCAGTCAATATTAGGTTGCATTCATTTTAAAATTCTTATTGATATTAATTTTGTCAACTGTGTCAGTGACTGTCAAGAGAGTAGCAAAACATTATCACAAATGACTGAACTTTCAGTCAGCTCCAAATAAAAAGTAAAATGGCAGTAACAAATCTGCATTTACTGTGCAACAAATAATATATCTCATGTTTTCTGTCTCTTTTATTTATAGAAAATAATAAAACAAGTGTCCTTATATGGTTCGTGAGTTTATTAGAGTATGAAAGATGAACAAAAATTCATTTGGTTCATGATTCCATGGCATGCAACTGATGCTACTGATATCTAAAGTCAGGCTGAAATATGATCTCAGTTTTGTAACTTTCACTGTTTATTTTTACCTAGCTTGTGTTGTTAATGAGCTGACATTGAGATAATAGCAGTTGGATATCATCAAAAACTAGTGCTTTAAACTACCAGTCAATATTAGGTTGCATTCATTTTAAAATTCTTATTGATATTAATTTTGTCAACTGTGTCAGTGACTGTCAGAGAGTAGCAAAACATTATCACAAATGACTGAACTTTCAGTCAGCTCCAAATAAAAAGTAAAATGGCAGTAACAAATCTGCATTTACTGTGCAACAAATAATATATCTCATGTTTTCTGTCTCTTTTATATTTAGAAAATAATAAAACAAGTGTCCTTATATGGTTCGTGAGTTTATTAGAGTATGAAAGATGAACAAAAATTCATTTGGTTCATGATTCCATGGCATGCAACTGATGCTACTGATATCTAAAGTCAGGCTGAAATATGATCTCAGTTTTGTAACTTTCACTGTTTATTTTTACCTAGCTTGTGTTGTTAATGAGCTGACATTGAGATAATAGCAGTTGGATATCACTGAAAATGTCAGAATGTATATATCCGTGTGATTTTTTCTCCCCGTGTCTTAACTTAGTGGATAAGCGTGCCGTTTGCCCTGTCCAATCCCGCTGTGTCAGACATCGGCGTCACCGCAGTAAACACAGTGTTCCAGTCGCCGTGGCTGGGAGAGATCGATCCATCTGATGGCTGGATGTGGGCTGATAACTTCTGTCTTCTTGTGAGTCGGTGCAGAAACACACTCGCCACATAACATGCTGCTTAGTGATATTTTTATTTCAATGCATCGAAACATTAATGCAGAAATGTTTTTCATTTTAATGGCACCACACAGATCTGCATCTTTTAGTAGGATTTGTGCTGCTGTGTGGTCTGGAAATGCAGTGTGTGCATACTCTTGCGTTTCGGCATTCTTTTAACTCAAGTGTTGAAAACAGCAGAAGTGCTGAAGCCGCATCTCTCAGGAGGATCTACCCGTACTGTATTCATATGTTAGGTTAGGTGCAGGGTACAGATGATTGTCTGGTTTTGGCCGTGTGTGTGTGTGTGTGTCCAGATGCTGGGTGGGATCCCGTGGCAGGTGTACTTCCAGCGGGTCCTCTCCGCCTCCTCGGCCAGCTATGCTCAGGTGCTGTCCTTCCTGGCTGCGTTAGGCTGTCTGGTCATGGCCGTGCCATCCGTCCTGATCGGCGCTATAGGAGCCTCCACAGGTACACCAGCAGAGAGCGCAGATACGGCCGTGTTTCCCGCAGCTCTCTAGCGAGAGGGAGATCTGAGACCAGCTGGCAGCGGCGGGGGATCACGCAGGCCCAAGCGGTGTAACGCTGATGACTCCAGATGGCTGCTGTCATTTATGTTCGAGGAGCCGTGCGTTTAGCTGAATATGGCCGTATCGACAGGGGCTTCATTAAAGCTGTTGAGTCTCAGCTAATCAGCAGATGTTCACTATGCAGCCCAAATGAATAAACACTGATTTACAAAACACATACAGTCAAACCAAAAATGATTCAGACAGCAGATATAATGTTTGATATTTTTTACTAGTGGATGCAGGACACTATAGTTCATTTATGTAAGTGAGGACAGCAAAATAAAGCAAACTGTGACATATTATACCCCAAAATTCTTCATTCAGTGGACTAACAGTAAAATTGATAAAAATTTGGGACCAAAAATTATTCAGACACTCTGAGCATGTTTTGCTCAAGTGTTTTTTCTTTAATTGCTAATGCGACCTTTTCACACCACAGACTGAACAAAATGAAGCATTGCTGGGTAATTGGTTGAGCTAAATTAGCTAAACTTAAATGTAACAGCTGACAGCTATTCAACCGAATTCATTCCATACCTTTCTATCAAAGTTATCTGGCAATATCAAGATGAATTTGTTCTGACACAGTTTAACTCTGAGTTCTTGTGAAATTATATTCCCATTTTTTAAACTATAGTGAATAAACTGTGATAATGTGAGAAATGTTGAAGGTGTCTGAATAAATTGTGGTTTGACTGTATATTCACAGTTAAATCAGGCACACTATTTGAACTACTTCACACATTACAAATGATACTCAGATGATGAATATGATGTGTGTGTGTGTGTGTGTGTGTTGAGACTGGAATCAGACGTCGTACGGTCCGGTTCCCCCGGTGGAGAAGGACGAGTCGGACATGATCCTGCCCATCGTCCTGCAGCATCTCTGCCCTCCGTTCGTCTCTTTCTTTGGTTTGGGGGCGGTGTCGGCCGCTGTGATGTCCTCCGCAGACTCCTCCATCCTCTCAGCCAGCTCCATGTTCGCACGGAATATTTACCAACTTGCTTTTCGGCAGTCGGTAAGTTCTTTATACTACTGTATTTCTGTGTAAAACCTGTGTAAACGCAATGTAAGCAACTTTAAAAAAAACATATTAGAAACTGTGTTTTTTAATATTATTGTTAGAAATTGTCTTCCATCACAGGAGACCTGATTCAAAATCATTTTTTCATTGACTTTTGGATCATAGCAGAAAATAAGCTCTGTGACCAACCAAAGTTTATGATTCTTACACGTTTTTTTTTTTCATCATGATAATCAACACCACCTTCACAATCATCACAATTTTGAAGTCTAAATACAGTCAGCAGAAGTAAAAAGTATTATCAAACTACGTCACGGTCACATGACTTCAGCGTTCACTGCCATTAAGCTTCAACAACTCATTCAGTCTGTACCTCAAAACATTTTCTCTTGCAGTAGTTTGCAGGAGTGTGATTATAAATGAGGCTGTGAAAGAGACTAGCGTGTAGATGAGTTCACCTGTTCAATGTGATGATCCCTCTGTAGTGCCATGTAGACACTTGTTCGCAACCACCGTTTTCAAGAGTAAAAGAAGTAAAAGCTTTAAAAAATCATAAGGGGGTATTACTTATGTAAAATAAAACGTGAAAATAATAAAAATTTGGGACCAAAAATTATTCAGACACTCTGAGCATGTTTTGCTCAAGTGTTTTTTCTTTAATTGCTAATGCGACCTTTTCACACCACAGACTGAACAAAATGAAGCATTGCTGGGTAATTGGTTGAGCTAAATTAGCTAAACTTAAATGTAACAGCTGACAGCTATTCAACCGAATTCATTCCATACCTTTCTATCAAAGTTATCTGGCAATATCAAGATGAATTTGTTCTGACACAGTTTAACTCTGAGTTCTTGTGAAATTATATTCCCATTTTTTAAACTATAGTGAATTAACTGTGATAATGTGAGAAATGTTGAAGGTGTCTGAATAAATTGTGGTTTGACTGTATATTCACAGTTAAATCAGGCACACTATTTGAACTACTTCACACATTACAAATGATACTCAGATGATGAATATGATGTGTGTGTGTGTGTGTGTGTGTTGAGACTGGAATCAGACGTCGTACGGTCCGGTTCCCCCGGTGGAGAAGGACGAGTCGGACATGATCCTGCCCATCGTCCTGCAGCATCTCTGCCCTCCGTTCGTCTCTTTCTTTGGTTTGGGGGCGGTGTCGGCCGCTGTGATGTCCTCCGCAGACTCCTCCATCCTCTCAGCCAGCTCCATGTTCGCACGGAATATTTACCAACTTGCTTTTCGGCAGTCGGTAAGTTCTTTATACTACTGTATTTCTGTGTAAAACCTGTGTAAACGCAATGTAAGCAACTTTAAAAAAAACATATTAGAAACTGTGTTTTTTAATATTATTGTTAGAAATTGTCTTCCATCACAGGAGACCTGATTCAAAATCATTTTTTCATTGACTTTTGGATCATAGCAGAAAATAAGCTCTGTGACCAACCAAAGTTTATGATTCTTACACGTTTTTTTTTTTCATCATGATAATCAACACCACCTTCACAATCATCACAATTTTGAAGTCTAAATACAGTCAGCAGAAGTAAAAAGTATTATCAAACTACGTCACGGTCACATGACTTCAGCGTTCACTGCCATTAAGCTTCAACAACTCATTCAGTCTGTACCTCAAAACATTTTCTCTTGCAGTAGTTTGCAGGAGTGTGATTATAAATGAGGCTGTGAAAGAGACTAGCGTGTAGATGAGTTCACCTGTTCAATGTGATGATCCCTCTGTAGTGCCATGTAGACACTTGTTCGCAACCACCGTTTTCAAGAGTAAAAGAAGTAAAAGCTTTAAAAAATCATAAGGGGGTATTACTTATGTAAAATAAAACGTGAAAATATTTTAAACTTGTGTTCACCACAAACCTTATTTCAGGCTTTTAACAGAAAACCCCATTCAAAAAACCCCTTTGACTTCAGGACAGGAACCAGAAGTGCTAAAATGCAACTCGTTTCCGGGTTTTGGCCTACATAAATTCTTCGTCCCTGCAGCACCGTCATACTGTAGTGTTTATGAAGTCTTTTTTGAAAAGCTTAATCAAACACTTAACAAGAAAGGAGCCAGACCTGGATGTGAGTTTGTCTAAATAGTTAGTCTGTAATCGTTTGTAATCGTGTGGCCCAGATGACATCAATGGAAAAGGACTTTTGTTTTTTGTTTTATATTTTGATGAAACTTAAAAATTTTTCCCTATGAATATTGAGCTCTGATGAATCATTCACAATAATAGCAGGAACCAGGTAAATCAAGTCTATTGTGATTTCATGTTTTACTACGAATGTACATGAAGCCCTTGCTTTAAAGGGTTAGTTCACCCCAAAATGAAAATTCTGTCATTAATTACTCACCCTCATGTTGTTCCAAACCCGGAAGACCTGAGTACCACAGAACGTAATCAGTGTTGTTCATGTTCAGCATGCGTGCGCTTTCTACTGAACGTAAACAATGCTGATTATGTTGATTACGTTCTGGGGTTCTCTCCAAAATGGCAGAAGATGGTAACTCGGGTAGAAGTATTGCTGAGTAAATTATGTTATTATTGTTTTCTTTGCGCACAAAAAGTGTTCTCGTAGCTTCATAAAATTACGGTTGAACCCCTGATGTCACATGGACTATTTTATCGATGTCCT